CTGCATGCGTGCGACCGTGCCGGTGGCCCAGTCAGCGGCCGACTGCCCGGCCACAACGAGTCGGCGGTCCGGCCAGCCAGTGAACCGGCCGGTTCAGACCGGCTACTTGAGCAGTTCAGGACTCAGTGACCCGGTCCGAGTTCAGTTCAGTATTTCAGTTAAGTTTTCAGTCAGTTCAGTTCAGTATTTTCTGTTCAGTTCAGATTTGTCAGTCAAGTCAGAACCCGAGACTATTTAGTAAATCCAGTTAAATAATTAAGTTCGAGTCGAGTATCTTAGCAGTTAATTTCATTCAATCTGAGCATAGTACTTAGTGTTTGTTTATTTATATATTTTCATAGTTTGAACTGCAGCAGCACTTACAGTTTCAGACTAGCAGTTCAGGTGGGGACTCAGACTAAGTACTACATTGAGTATAATTACAGCTATCATGTTCAAGGTATGTATATCCAGTTTCGCTTAGAATGGTGGCCAGTTCAGGTGCGTAATTCCATTCTGAGTTCTAGTGGCCTAATCTGCCCACTAGGGTGTGCACATGGGTTCGGACATAGCCGACAGATTCAGTATCTGATCCAGTAGCAGTTTATATACTGTTGATTAGCCAGTTTCAATTTCAGTACCAGACACAGATTATATATATGCTTTTGATCATGGTATTACAATTATTATTGTTGTCTACTTTAGTATGAGTTTCTGCATATCACAGTGGCTTTTAGTGCTTACGCCCCCACTATATTATATTTTTCAGGTCACAGGGCCGGTCCTTAGGAGTGAGCTGCGTCGGTGGTCGTGGGTTTTGTTTATGCGTATGTTTATGGATTTTTGGACATGTTTATATTTATTTTGCCACGTTTTACTTCCGCTGACATTTTCAGGTTTTCGAACTCGCACGTTGATTTCTATATTTTGATCCAATTTTTTGAGGTCATGGACTGTCCTGATCGCTACCGCGTACTTTGTGCCCCAGATCCAGATGACTGGTGACGCACGCCTTTGGTGGAATGCCTACTAGGAAATGCGTCCCGGTGAGAAGGAAAACTGTACGTGGGATCGATTCAAAGAGATATTGCGCGAAAAGTTTTATCCAGCCTATTATCGCGCAGAGCTTGAGCGTCAGTTCTTGGCGCTTAAACAGGGTATCCGTTCTGTGGAAGAGTACGAACGTGAGTTTACTCGGCTCAGATTCTTCGTTCCTGAGTTATTGGGTTCAGAGGAGAAGAGGTCGAGGCGTTTCATTGATGGACTTTTGCCAGTAGTTCGTCACAACATCGTTGGACACGACGTCCAAACCTATGCCGATACCATCAGCAGGGCCCAGAAGATAGATGCAAGCATTCGAAGGGAGGCCATTCTGATTCAAGTCCAACCAGTTTCCCAAACCAGCACCACCTGTTCAACCAGTAGCAGCCCAACAGCCGAAGAACAAGGGAAAGAGGAAGTGGAGAGCACCCCAGGACGAACGAAGGAACCGCCCCAGACAACAACAACCAATGCCATTTTGCCCCACATGTGGACGATGACACCGCGGAGAGTGTCTTATGGGCTAGAACATCTGTTTCTATTGCCGACAGCCCGGACATAACCGTATTGACTGCCCACAGCGACAGCAGCAACAACCACCACTACAACAACAGCCCAGACAACAGCCCCCGAGACAACCCCAGCAGCAGCAGCGTGGCAGACAGCATGCCCGTGTCTATGCCATCGATCAGGCCGAAGCAGAGCAGCACCCAGGTACCATGTCTGAGATGATTATTCTTAACGATGTTTCTGTTTTTGCCTTATTCGACACCAGAGCAACCCATTCATTCATATCACACCAATGTCTTGAGGCCATTGGGGTTTGCTCGGTCAGCGCTGTCGATCCTCTCGAGGTGAGTTTAGTCTTGGAAAGAAAGATAGTGATTGATGCCAAAGCCGAGAGTCTCAGCCTTTCCGTCGGCAGTCGTATCTTGACTACCGACGCTTATGTTATCGAGATGAGGGATTCTGACCTCATTCTCGGTATGGACTCGCTAACCTATTTTCATGCAGATATCCGTTGTCATGACCGAAAGATTACTCTTCATCTTCCGGGGGACGACCAGATCACTTATTTCGGTTCCAGGACCCGTACTCTGCCTCATATCATTTCTATGGCGAAAGCTAGAAAGATCTTACGACGAGGTGATTGCCAGGTGTACCTAGTGAGCCTTGTCGGAGACGAACCAAAAGCACGGACACCTCACGACATTCCTATCGTCCATGAGTTTGTGGACGTGTTTCCAGACCAACTTCCCAACGGTCCACCCAGCCGGCAAGTAGAGTTTTCTATTGATCTTATTCCGGGAGCCGGACCAGTATCCAAGGCACCGTATAGAATGGCACCTAGAGAATTACAGGAGTTAAAGACTCAGATCCAGGAGTTGCTGAATCTCGGTTTTATTCGACAGAGCGTTTCACCATGGGGAGCACCCGTTCTATTCGTCAAGAAGAAGGACAGTTCTATGTGCATGTGTATCGATTACCGGGATCTTAACTGGTTGACGATCAAGAATAAATATCCGCTTCCCAGAATTGACGACTTGTTCGACCAGTTGAGGGGCTCCTGTGTATTTTCTAAGATTGATTTATGTTCGGGTTACCATCTACTGAAGATCAAGGATTCATATATCACCAAGACAGCGTTCCGAACAAGATACGGTCATTACGAGTTCGTGGTTATGCCGTTCGGTCTCAGCAATGCTCCGGCGGTGTTCATGGACTTGATGAACCGTGTATTCCATCCTTTCCTCGATTAGTTCGTTATTGTATTCATTGATGATATTCTTATCTATTCCAAGAGCCAGAAGGAGCATGAAGAGCATCTGAAGGCCATTCTTGAGACCCTTAGACGTGAAAAATTATATGCTAAGTTCTCTAAATGCGAATTTTGGCTTCAGCGAGTGGCTTTTCTTGGCCACATTATTACTCAGGCAGGTATCGAGGTTGATCCATCTAGGATTGCCGCAATTCAGAACTAGTCAGCGCCAAAGAATCCGTCCGAGGTTCGTAATTTCCTCAACCTTGCAGGTTATTATCGCAGATTTATTGAGGGGTTCTCGAAGATTGCCGTCCCTTTGTCCCAGTTGATGAAGAAGTCTGTGAAGTTCGAATGGACTGATCGTTGTGAGTCGAGCTTTCAGGAGCTGAAAGAGAGGCTTACGATGGCACAGGTGCTGACTATTCTGAATCCTTCTTGGAGTTTCACCATCTTTAGTGATGCTTTGAGGTAGGGTTTGGGGTGTGTACTTATGCAGGGCGGCCAGGTTGTAGCGTACGCTTCACGTCAGTTGAAGCCCCATGAGCAGAACTATCCTACACACGACCTGGAGTTAGTTGTAGTGGTACATGCACTTAAGATATGGAGGCATTATTTATATGGTAGTCGGTGCGAGATTTATACCAATCACAAGAGTCTGCAATATATTTTTATGCAGAAGGAGCTTAACATGCGTCAGCGACGTTGGTTGGAACTTGTTAAAGATTATAGGGTGAATTATCATATTCTATTACTCATCAACGCCATCTTGTTCGAGATTTTGCCCGGATGCAGATTCAGGTCATCGAGTCACTTCCTGCGGAGATCACGGGGAGTGTTAGCTCGATGCAGATTCACCCCATGTTGAGAGACAGAATTCGGGGGGAGCAGGCTTCTAATCATTTTATTCGCACTATCGAGGCCAAGGTTCACGCCGGAGGAGTCGAGGGCTTTTCCCGAGGCACAGATGGAGCCTTGGAGTTCAGAGGCAGGATCGTAGTGCTGAAAGTCGAAGCCTTGCAGAAGCAGATCTTGACCGAGGCACACACCGCGCCTTATCTAGCTCACCCCGGCATTACCAAGATGTACCACGACCTGAGAAGGTCATTCTGGTGGCAGGGAATGAAGAAAGACGTAGCCAGTTTCGTAAAGAAGTGTTTGGTCTACCAGCAAGTCAAGGCCGCGCACCAGAGTCCGATGGGCCTTCTGCAACTTGAGATTCCGAAGTGGAAGTGGGAGGAAGTCACGATGGATTTCGTTACAGGGCTGCCCAGGTCGTCCGAGCATCACGACGCGATTTGGGTAGTAGTGGACAGGTTGACGAAAGTCGCACATTTCCTACCTGTAGCGATGACCATGTCGATGGAGAAGTTGGCCGAGATTTATACCCGTGGGATTGTTCGACTCCACGGAGTGCCCATTCATATCATGTCAGATCGAGATCCCAGATTTACCAGCAGGTTTTGGGAGAGTTTACACGAGACGATGGGCACACAGTTACAGTTCAGATCGGCTTACCATCCAGAGACAGACAGTCAGTCGGAGAAGATGATTCAGACGCTCGAGGATATGCTCCGAGCGTTGATTCTATACATAGGTGCTAAATGGGAGTCAATTTTGCCGTTAGTCGAGTTCGCCTATAACAACAGTTATCAGGCGTCGATCCAGATGGCTCCTTTCGAAGCACTTTACGGGCGTAAATGTCGATCGCCCCTTTAGTGGGACGACGTGGGCAAACGTCAGGTACTCGGTCCGTAGATGATCGAGGATACAGTTGAGCAAGTTGAGTTGATCAGACAGAGGCTTAAGACAGCACAAAGCCGGCAGAAGTCATCAGCCGACAAGCATAGACGAGATAACCAGTTCGAGGTCATAGAACGAGCCTTTCTGAGAGTTCGACCATTCCGCGGGATCATTAAATTCGGGAAGAGAGGGAAGTTACATCCCCGTTTCATCGGCCCGCTCGAAGTTCTCGAGCGAGTGGGCGAAGTAGCCTATCGTCTAGCTTTGCCTCTCGAGTTATCCAGTGTTCATAATTTTTTTCATGTATCCATGTTACGGAAGTA